CAGGCCTGGGACGAGAAATCTTGCGGCTGTTTAGTGGTTAGTCATTTGTGTTAAAATTTATTTTGATTGTTTTCCACAACGCAATACGGATATTTACTTAAACGCCTGCCAGCATCTCATTAGATCTTTTCCCAGCCCCCAGAATGAGCGCCTCCGATGACTACTTTGCATAAATCATTTTTCGTGATACGGGCGATTTTATGTCTTCGGTAAACAAACAATATGTTTTGGCTGCGGAGAGAATTATTTAGTCATCAGTTTGGCCTCTGTCTTCGTTTGATGAACCTTAAGGAGCTCAGGAATTCAGTGGTCCTGTTTCTGGTTCTGGGACCACAGCCACCTCAGACAGACACAATGGCATCGATATCCCGTTGCTCACATAAGTGTCTGGGAACAATGCTACTACGTTTCAAAGGTGGGAGGACTGCTTTCCCCGCATTAGCTGACATTGTTGTTGACTCAGTGTCGGTTCATCACACGTGACTGGGCTGCCACTCAGAGCGTCATTTGTCATGACGGGTCCTTTGTATCCTGCCACCGCGTTATTTACTCTCGCTCCAGGGCTCATCCTGCTGTGGTTCCCAGCACTTTACCGAAGTTTGGTCTCCATGTTTAGACAGCCTCACTAGTTATCACCCTCCACACTGAGCAAAATTTAGGTGAGAGTGACTCTGTGAGTGTTTTTGTAAACAGGCAAAGCACCTTTTAGCACGTTCCTGTCAAATGTGTGCAAATTGCAGAAGAAAGCCTTAAGCTCCTGCCATGTTTCTTCGCCAGATTTCAGTTGCAGAAGCATGTTTTCGTTTGTACACAAAGCGAAACTCAATTAAATACCACATCTGCTATTACCCAGTGAGTTAAAAACGTGTGTATATCCTGCACACTTTAATTACCTTTCGAGGCAGCGTGTGTGCAAATTAGCTAATTAGGTAAAATAAATATGGTTGCTAACTACGATTGCCGACTCTCGTACTGCGCTCCATTAAAGAAAGATAAACATTTCTTACTAAGCTTAGGCACGCCAGGCCGAACTATCGCCAAGAAAGCAGCAACTTGTTGGCCCCCGCCGAAGGATTACTCGCTTACTCGCAGGACGCTATCGGGCCACGCTGCGTATGAGTAATGTCTGCCGAGCGTTGCTCGGGCCACGCAGCGTATGATGGCTGCTCCAACGCAGCCATGTTTTTATGAATGAATCTCCGTGCAACATGTTCGAAGCGGCCGCCATCGCGTTCGATCCATTATCGCGCAACCGATTCGACTTTGCCGCCCCGACTTTTTCAAATCAGAACCCAGAAATCGTCGTGCCGTAACGGTCGAAAAACACGGATAAATATATTGTGGACTCCCTGGTTCTAGAAAAGAATTGAAGTGGCAAAGAAAGGAGTCTTTTTGAGCCATCAAAGTGAAAGTGAAGTACCAAGAACGGTCGTACGATTGGACGTAGAGTTTTAAGTGAATTGTCTTCGGATTTTGCAATCTAGTTGTTCTCTGTTTTCGAAACTTAAAATAAAATTGTGCATTTATTTAGTGTTTAATCTCAACAAAAATTTTATTTTTTTTATAAATAAAAAGGCAAGATTAAAATAATTATACAAATGTTATAGAGTTATGTATTAAACTAATCTGTAACAATAATATATTAATTACTTTTCAAAAATGTAATGATCTTGAACTAATACCTTAAATGTGAGCCTGTGAGATGTGTAAAAAATTTAAATTAATATTGGTTAGATGAACCAATTAAAAAAATCGTAAAGTAAATAATGGCATGTGTTTCTAGAAACAAATAAAAAATGGATTTAGTATTTCCTTTCATTAAATATTGAGTGTGTTATATATAATGTTATAAGAGTGTGTAAAAAATTTAAATGAAATTTGGTTTTGTGAACCCTTTAATAAAATTACTTGTTTAATTAATGACATGTGTTCCTAGAAAACAATAACCAATTGTTTAAGTGATCCCTCTCATTATATAATGGAATTTAAGCTTAATTTTCAGTGTTTAAATGAATCATTTAACGAAGATCATACAAATATTTGTAATTTCCATAACTCAAAATTGTCCTTTAATCAGTCCAATCGCCTAAATTAATTTCCACACACTCCCGAGTGCGTGTGTGTGTTGCGGGTGTGTATACAATATTTTCGACTGCGGGTTACCAGAGCAATAATCAAAATGGCATAAAGAGCTCAAGAGCTCTTGGAAGCTATGCGATGCTATGCCAAAAGCAAACAGTGAATTGTGAACTGTGCACACAGCACTGGAGATACAAGATAGAAGCGTTGAGATACATATTATGAAGTAGACAAGTGGCGGACAGGCATACGGATACAGAGGGCTCCAAAGTTCTGACGGGGCTGCAGATGCCAAAAAATTAATGACATGTTAATATTTAAGCCAAAAATACAAGTTGCCCGTGGCAATCCAGTTCTGAGGCTGCTGCTTCTGTATTTGGAGAGGCGGACCAACTGTTCAAACAGCCGCAGCTTCGGTTTCGGCTTAGACAAAGCCTCAAAGTGTCCAAATAAATGTGAAATGTGAATACAAACAGCGAGACTTTGTATCCGAGAGGCGCATGCAAATATCAGCCCCTGAAACATATCCCATCGAGTTCGGGAAGTGTGCAAACTTTTGGGATACTGTACCCCTAATGATCCAATGAGTGGGGCCGAGGCCCTCGGAAATTTCCTTTAGAATCGAAATGGGAACCGGACCACGGAACGAGAGTAAGGAATTGTATTTCGCCTGCAGTCAGACTGGGGCAGGGGCAAGGACAGTTTATGAACTCGGCAAGTAATTACAAAGTAACGCCGTAAGAATAACAACAAACTGCTGTAGGAATTAATCCAATCCAAGTGAATGGCCAAAGTTCTCGGCAAAATCAACTCGGAAAAAATGAACTGTAAAAGCGAGCCATTCGCTAAAACTTTGTCTGCTAACAAAACTTTTAACAATGCCAAAATAACAAAAAAAAGTAAAGAAAGTAGTGAAATTCAAATGTATAAGAACCATTGTGTACATTGTGTTCGCCATCAGTAGCACCATTAAACACGGCTTGTGGCAAAAACCAGAAAAGCGAAAGGGGATTTTTTTTTTCCTTTTTCAGACTTGGAGACTCGGAGCTCCGAGTTACGTATACGCCCTGTTGCTGCCAGTGGTACGTCTGATGGTTCGACAATTATTCTTAATTGAATACTTTGACAAAGAAAACTCTGGAATTAAATTCAAAGAGTCAGCAATCAGTTAACACAATCAATCCAATAATTCGTGGACCAGAAAGTGTAAAACAAAATGGTCTAGACTCTGGATCATGAGAAATTCGGCCAGGGATTATTTCTATTTTCTCGTAGAGGCTTTCAATGCCGGAATGCAAATCAATCAAACTGGAAAAAAACCCTGCTAAAAACTTTGCGCCAAAGTTCGCGCCGTTCATCTGTCGCCTCCATGGCGCGTATTATTATTCACATCCCCAAGAACATGCCACAGATGTGCTTTTTTTTGGCTGATCAATCAAAAGCGCATTTGTGTATTAATCAGACTGATTAAGTTTAAGATGCGGGCTGGCTGGCTGCCACCGAGACAGGCTGCCACCGGGTAATCAAATACAAATTGCTTTAGTGACACCGACCAGCCCGGGTCATGAGCCATTAATCTGGTTTAATCGACGCCGCTTAGATTGCCCCACACCGGGCAATTAGCGATGAGAGGCTGCTACCTCTCTGGAGTGGCTGGAGCTGGAGGGGCCACATATGTGTGGTAAACATACTCGTGGTAGCCGGTCCAATAAATCTCCTCTGTGGCGACGATTGATTTCAATTGATCTGCATCAATTGAGCAAAGTGAAAAGTTGAAAACTTGAAAAGTGCTTTCGGACACGCGTGCCGCTGGTGCCCTGAATTGGGCTTAGAAACGATGGGCGATTGAAACGGCCCCACAACAAAGCCCTCCCGGCACTTAATTTATGTTCATAAATTAATTTGGAAAATGAAATTTTATGGAATTTTACTTTGAACCTGCTACAGCATGGGCAAAGTCTATCTGTAGTGGAGTGGAGCCAAAGCCCGACAAAGCCTGACAGACGGTCATCGTATCTATTAAAATTAATTCCGCAACCGGTGCAGTAAAGTAATCGCAATCGTAATGGCAAGCAGTCAAGGCGCCTCCGAGGGCGACGATGCATTCAGGTAATTGCTGCCGGGTAATTGCAATTTGCAACTGCGCGGGTCAGCCGATGCCGCCATTATGAGCTCGTTACCTCTTTCTAACAATCTGCAATCGAAGTCTAATCAAGCTGAAGTCAGTGCCTTGGATTTCCAATTTTCAAATTCCAAGGAAAGCCTTTGACTAACGTGACTTTCCAGGAAATATGATTGAGGGCGGCAATCTGACTCTAAAGGATAACATCCGAACTGTGAATATGGGATTACAAACTGGTGACCATTCAAGCGAAAGGCTTTAAAAATTGAAATTCCACCCACTACTAAAGGTTTTTTTACTGAGAACAATATTCAATTGAATTAATTCCCATTAAAATTATATTTTCCTCTGAAATATAATACTTATGGGATTTATTGATGCTCTTAATGGATTTTTAAAAGTATATGCAATCCAGGGGAGTTTCGCTTTAAAGGGTTGGTGGCATGACTTGGGGATGCATTACATTATACATTTAATTTAATTTCAACTTTTTCGTGGCCTCCAGCGAAATGGTTTCCAGGAAATCTCCATAATAAACAAAACCGTTGCACCCCAACATTCAAAAAATGTCTGATGACTTTTTAATAAAAGGAGTAAGACCGCTCTTGCTTCAAAATTCCACCTGGCTCTTGTGAATGCTTAATAAGTTTTTAATTGGCTTAGAACAACGTAGAACACAAGGACTCTTTTTAAAGTTTTTCCCATTTTTTACCTCTATTGCAGCTGCACTGTGCCGGGAACTCTTGTCAATCAAAATGTCACTTGCAGATGAATGGAAAAATAATGAGAATCGCATATGAGGTTTTACCCAGAATACCTTTAATCACGATGCAAGGTCTCCTACCTGTTACCTCCGGAAATAACTATCCCTGAACCGTCCAACAAAGCGCTTTTGTGAGTCAAAGAGAAACCTGAAACATGGAGACCGAGTGGGGCATAGACGATCCGCCCTCCCCCTCCTTTGACCGTCTGCCGAGTCCTGCAATGGGCCTGGAGGCGGAGAACGAGGTGGCTGGAAATTGGTCCGCACTAACGAACCTTACCCGGCTGGTGGCAGCTGCGGCGCCGGATATCGCCAACTTTACGCTCAACATGCTGGACGTGGGCGTGGCGGGACTGGCCACTGAAGTGGCCAATGCGACCATCAGCACCACGCCCCTGCCCGCCTATGCGATTGCCAACAGCTCCTCGCTGGCCCACACCAACAGCCGGCACGAGTCCCCACCGATGGCCGAGCAGGTGCCGGAGCATGTGATGGACCCCATGGACCATGCCCCCCAGCTTTCGCGCTCCGGCCTGCTGAAGGTGTATGTCCTGGCGGTTATGGCACTGTTCTCCCTGCTGGGCAACCTGCTCACCATCTGGAATATCTACAAGACCCGCATCTCGCGGCGCAACTCGCGGCACACCTGGAGCGCCATTTACTCCCTGATGTTTCACCTGTCCATCGCCGACGTCCTGGTCACCTGGTTCTGCATCATCGGCGAGGCCGCCTGGTGCTACACGGTCCAGTGGCTGGCCAACGAGCTCACCTGCAAGCTGGTGAAGCTCTTCCAGATGTTCAGCCTCTACCTCTCCACCTACGTGCTGGTGTTGATCGGAGTGGATCGCTGGATAGCGGTCAAGTACCCGATGAAATCGCTCAACATGGCCAAGAGGTGCCATCGACTGCTGGGCGGGACCTACATCCTCTCTCTGGTGCTAAGTCTTCCTCAGGTAAGCCAAGAATTTGCTTTGAGATAAATATTGCTTCGAAAGCAATTAGTTGCAAGAATTTTCAAGATAACCTTATTAGGAAAGAAATTCTAAGAAGGAGCTTTGAGTCTGCTGCTGGTATCTTCCTGGAAATGAAAGTCCTGTTAAGGTGCTAACGCCTCCAAGAGCTTTTAAGATAAGTGTTTGCTGCAGTTGCCGCTGCTGCGGGCTGAGGGTATTCCATTACGCAAAGCCAAAGTCGGAGATCAGATTCGCCGTGGCTCCAAGTCCTTGTCGCCCTCCAGAATGCACACAAGCCACTCAAGCACTTCAGCGCGGTATGACGAAGTTGAAGTAATATGTTTACTTTATAACACGTATACGCCCCGTGGCAGGGCGCAAAATACCCGTAGTCTTGAGTAGGCGCCGGAATGTGTGCAGACATTAAAAATGATTGCCTTCGCACAATAAGTGTGCACTAAATGCCGCTTTGGGCGGCTGACACACCCACCCGACCCTGCCGCAAACACACACGTGGCCGCCTAAGGCGGACGGACGGCCAGAATCGAATTCCGGCCAACAAAGGGTTTTTTTTACGGATGGGCCACAAAAAGAAGGTCGCCGGATTGCCGGAAAGTGTCTGCCCGACGACAGACATTATTCATATTCCCGATTCATTGTGTGCAGATAGGCCGGGCGATATATATTATTCCCTTTTTTTCTCGCCCGAAATGGGACTGCATTAATGTCAGCTATCGCGAGTCCCTCCCGCATTGTTCTAGGATTCAGATTGTGTGCTTTTTTCCGGCACATTGATTGTATAATATATTCCGGGGTGTCTCCACTGATTACACACTCGATTCGCACGCCTGGCCTTGATTTATGGCCCGGGGCTCAGGACAAGGTGGCCCGGCAGCTGCCTCTCTCCTTTTGTTTATCAGATTATCCTGGCGCCAGGAACTCTACGACTCCAAGGACCTGGAGTACTATGGCAGAGCACTCGAGCTCCGTGTTAAGTAATTAGACAGAATGCCACTTCAAAGTTGCCAAGGGGGATGGTAACTAACTTAGTTTGATTGAAAAGTAGAGAGCTCCTGGCAGAAGATCTGCTTCGCTACTGGTTAAGTGGCCACTGGGGCTTTCGGCCTACAGCTGACCTTTTCGCCACCTCTGACGGCAGAAATAAACCAGTCCTTGGAGGAGAGCTCGATTGTTGGATTGAATAAATGGAAATTTTCCTGTGTAGTCCCACTCGCTGCGGCACTTTGCTCTAATCTCGCTTCCGGCGCGGCGCTTAAATGTATGCTATAATTTCACGCATTTAATTAGAAGAAACCATGTTGGCTTTTATCAGCATAATGTATGGCGTGGAATAATAATTGAAGGCAGAGCCCCGAAATCTTGGCAGCCCAGGAAGTGGGCTGAGGCCTTCTCTATTTCTTCCCGGGTACTTGTGCGTGCCCGCCTGTCAAAAGTGTCTGACTTGTTTAAATGCCGCAAAAAAACGTTCAGTCTAATTACATTTTTATGTTTTTAGCTTCATACGGAGGGGAATGCTGTGACTGTTTTGGCAGTTCTTGAAGTGGGTAGGTCTGGTGACTTTGGAGTTTTTTTTAGCAACCAATAACAATAATAAAATGGACGTCATGTATTGACTTCACTTGACCGGCTGTCAGGTTATCCTAAATAATTAAGAAGCCCGGTCTGCCAAAAAGTTATTATGAAATTGCGGATTCCTCCGTCGATACTGTTACATAATTAAGGAGCCACTGTCACCCAATTAAAAGAAACTTTGCAATCATTACACCAATTTTTATGGACCACTTTCCGGCCCCGGGGTTGGCTGTCGTGTCGTGCTGGGCGAACTTTCTTCATTTCGTTTTATTGAACATGCGACATAAAATTTATGCGGCTTACAGACGTGACGGCCAAGTCAGAGCGGAACAGAACGGCCAAAAGTGTCGGTTTCCTTTCGCCAAGTGAGAATCATCTGAAACAATTTTCCGGGCAACTTTTCCGCAGTCGCCTGGGTCGCCGGGGACGGGACACGTTTTCACAACCAGCACATACGCACATGCCTTCAAATCCAATATGAGACGCACCGCTGAGCTCGTTGCTTTCCAATAAAAAAGCAAAATGAAAATTTACTCTGACTGCCAATAAACAACAAATGTTTTCGGCGCAGGCCGCAGTTTTCGGCATTATTTGCCACCGCGCTAGAACAATCACCCTAGTAGAAAATAAGCGACTTTCCACCCACGTCTCACCATTTTCCTGGCACAATAATACCTTGTGCTCAGGCTCCAGTCAGAGAAAAGAAATGCGTCGACATAATGGCTTCAGACATAGGTCCTGAGAATAACAGAAACGTCAAGGATACAAGAAGAGTAGCTCTGCATTTTCTCTTGACACTGAAAGCCGGTCTTGATGGGTGCATTCAAGCGCTTTTCCCACTTTGGGGTGAAGGTATAACCATCTCCCGAGATTCAATTAGGATTTGACAGACAAGCTTGCTTTTAAAAATGTTTCTGTTTCTTTGGTTTGCTTAAATATTAAAAGGCACTTAGCCTACAATATGGTTTAAGGGTAAACTAGAGAGGTGCATTTCTCCTCCAAAAACCCCAAAACTTTGATCAAGAAAAAGTAAAAACTGAGAATAAGCAAGTGTTGGCCAAAACTTTCTTTGAATGGGTGGCACAGAAAGTGTGCAGATAGAGTAAGCTCAGACAATAAAGTTTGAACAAAAGGTACTCACCACAATCGAAATGGTTACATTGCTTTTAATGGTTTTGCCTGTATCCTTGTTTGTAGGTCAAGGGCTCCGATCTATATCTCTCCTCCGTTTAATGAAAAACGCTGTTGTCTGTTGTTTGGCGAAAGCAACGGCTTGGAAGTTATAAATGTGCGAAATTAATAAAAATCAACCATTATAGGATATTATCCGCTTCTCGTTAGTCCCCGGGGTTTTATGTAGTTTCACCACGCGTGGCAAGTTTTTCCATTTGGGTCAGCTGCTGTCGCTGGGGCTCCCTGACACAGACCGACAAGAAACCCATAAAAATGAATATAAAAAGACTCTTAGCGTATTAGCTATGCGCTGACACATTCATCTGCCGCGTAGCTTTTTCCGTTTTATCAGTTCCGGCCAGACCTTCGAGTATAGAGTTTCCCCGGGGAAGACCTTCACGGGCCACCTGTCCGGTGTAGGCAGACATGGTGGAGAGGGCCTACATAGGGGCTACAACAATGGAGTGTGTTACCACAGTTCCAAAAAAATTGCTCCCTCAATTACGGGCGTATTCAGATTCGACAATGGAAATGGCTTTCCCCCGAATCGGAGGCTGCTGGCGGCAACAGCAGATCAAAGACTCGTTTCTGTCAGCAATTTGTAACTAAGGGGCAAGTGTGGATTTCCATGTAAGCGTGAAGAGTAAATACTGATACTCGTTTATGAGGAATGGAAATCTATGAAAGTGATTCAGCAATATATGTTTATTACTGAGAAGACTATGTGGGCAGGAGTGTAGGCTCAAAAATATGTTTAAAGACTCAACATTAACCTAAAAACTATTTATGTGCCGAAAACTCATATAATTTCATTTGTTTTCCTTTGCATAATAATATGGAAAATGCTTTTGTTTTTATACGTTTTGAATTTTAATTAGCAGTGCCTGGCAATGCATTTTGGTTGACAACAGCATCAAAAATGCAACATGGCGCTGCAAACTTTTCCAACTACAACCTTTTAACTTTGACATTTATTCTCTCCCACTCACTCAATTACTTTTCCTGGATGAAGTTTTTCATATTCCACGTGGCCCGAGGTCCGTTCGTGGAAGAGTTCTACCAGTGCGTCACCCACGGGTTCTACACCGCCGACTGGCAGGAACAAATGTACGCCACCTTCACGCTGGTCTTCACCTTCCTGCTGCCACTGTGCATTCTGTTCGGCACCTATATGTCAACCTTCCGGACTATTTCAAGTGAGTTATGGCATGAAAAGCCATCAAGCCATCGGATTCAGCTTCAGTTTCATCCCCACAGGCAGCGAAAAGATGTTCCAGGGGTCGAAGTTGGCCAACTACTCCACGGCCAAGCTGCCCACGCAGACGAACCGCCAACGGCTCATACACAAGGCCAAAATGAAGTCACTCCGGATTTCGGTGGTGATCATCATCGCCTTCCTCATCTGCTGGACTCCCTACTACGTCATGATGATTATCTTCATGTTCCTGAATCCCGACAAAAGGGTAAGTGGGCGTTCTAGTATATCACGGTCCTGGCTTTCCGTTGCTGGCTGGCTGTCCTTTTGGCCCGAAATTTCCGGCGCGTTGAATGACAAGCGAATAACGATTCCTGGTATCTCGTATAAATGCGAAGGCACATCAATCAGCAGTCGATTTGTCAGTTGGGTCCTGAAGGGTTGCAGTGTGAGGAGCTCTTTTTTGTTGCCCGTCCCAATATTTACGGCCCGTGGCTGTATTAAATGTCCGACGCACCGAACACTCGGCTTAGTCGCAGATGGCAAATCCGTTTAGGTCCGCAATCTTTTCCACGCTCGCCAACGCACATAAAAATGATTTCTTATTCTCAATTTTTAATTAATCGTTACGGCACCCGACCAACAATGCCAGTCCGGTCGCAATTTTTCCGGACACGGCATCCCAAACTTTGATGACTTGCCAGAGATTGCCCGTAAAAGCCTCTGGCGGAGAGGTATTTCACAAGATTATGGCCGCTTCGGAAAACAAAAACAAGCGTTTGGTTAACCGCAGCCCGAGTATCCTGTAAAATTCAAGGAAACAAATGGCCGGCCAGAATAAATTTTAATTTCAAAGACTTCCTTAAACATTACTGCCGGATATTTTCACCCAAATGGTCTGCTTTTGTTCTTTATGAAAAGCACGCACTTTTGTGGCAACAAATCACACAGGACTTGAGTGCTTCTTAAGCTACAAGGAAGAACAAACTCTAGTAAAATAGTTTAAATTCAATTAAGAGCATTTCAGCTTTAATCCTTTCTTTAATAATACATCTTTGCACCTTCAGTGTTTTAAGCATGACTTAAACATTAGAAGGAGAGAATTCTGGGGGATTTTCTTAAGCTCCGTCCACCCACCAAGGTCCTGCGGGTAGCGAGGGTATTCTGAGTAACCAGGATGTGGAGACCAGCCGCAAAACGCCCATAATGGGCCCACTCGAACACAAACAAATCCCACAAAAGGGTCGGCTGAATGGGAAGGAAATTAATTTGAATTTTCCGCATTACTTGCAGCTGGGCGACGATCTGCAGGACGCCATATTCTTCTTCGGGATGTCCAACAGCCTGGTCAACCCGCTCATCTACGGCGCCTTCCACCTGTGTCCTGGCAAGGGTGGCAAGTCGAGCGGGGGCGGTGGCAACAACAACGCCTACAGTCTAAACAGGTGAGATTCACAACTGGTAGATATGTAGTTAATAACTGGTAGTTTTTTATTTTTTATTTTTCTATCTAGTTTCTTAAAAAGAAGCGTCATACTGTAACATTTTTTATTTTAATTAATCTTCAATTTATGTCCAGTATCCAGTATCTAATTTATGTTTCTCGCTTTCAATTCTTTGTCTGTTTATTTTTTCATTAGTTGGTCTCTGAAAAATAACTAAAATTTGAAAAGATAGAAATTTCTTAAGCTCTGATAAAGTGTCAAATTGATTAACTTTGAACTCTGTGATATACCCCTTTGTATATCTCCCTACATACTTAAAAATTTTTGTTTACCGACTTTATCATGGCCTATGAGAACACCACGCACTTATTGATTTTGATATGATTTCGCTCTGATAGTTTACGATTATTTTGATAGTGAATCTCAATTGGAAATGGCAGTATGGAATTGATATTGTTTGTTTATACTTTCTGTCTGGATTTTGTTCACCCCACCTCACGTCCATCCCCGTCTCCCCCTTTCGTTTCGCTCTTCCAGGGGCGACTCTCAGCGCACACCATCAATGCTGACGGCGGTGACCCAGGTGGACGGCACCGGAGGCAGCTCCCGGCAGATGCGGGCCTTTCGCCAGCAAAGCTACTACCGCAACTCCAGCAACGGTGGCGTTGGAGGCGGTGGAGGATCAGGAGGAGGAACCTTCAAGGAGCAGGTGGGTCTGCTGCACGTAGGACCCGGCTCGGGACCACCCGGCGGGCCGGCTTCCATCTCCGGCAGTAGCGGTGCCACCCCCCAACTGATGCGAAAGGGATCTGCCCTGCTGGCCCGCCATCCAAGCTGCTTGCGGGAGCAGCTCCTCCAGAACTCCAGAGACCAGAGCCAGCCCTCCACCCTGGTCCTCAACTACGACAGCCAGCGAGGGGGCGTCGGCGTGGGCGTGGCCAGTGGTCTGCTGGACAACAACGAGCGGGTGTCGAGCGTGTGAGAGCAGCTGGCGATGGCGGCGGCGGCGTTGGCGCTGGAGATGCCACACGCCGAGGTCGAAAACGTGGCCAAGGACCTGGCGACGGAGGACGCCTGCTCCTGCTGCCATTGCCTGAGCAGGGAGCTGGTGCGACGGCAGCTAGAACTCCAAGAGCTTCCAGTGCAGTGAGGCGAGTGCCCCACGCTAGAGCACAGAGTGAGAGATTGGAAACTGCGGATGGGATTGGAACCGAAGGACGGCGTTATGGAGGATCAGAGATCACCGGGACGCATGTGCAACTTGTGCTTAGTTAATGCTAATCGAGAGTTAAGTCTTCAAACACAATGGGTGTGCTTAGAGGTAGCGTAGGATTAGAGTCTAGGTCGTATGGAAGTGTTGCCCGACAATGGGGGGAAGTCATAGTTGCCACAAAGCCTTTACCTTAAGTTTCTATCCTAAAATCTAACAATCTGTCAATAATACTTACCAATGTCCCCAGTTTGAATAGTTAATCCCACAACTGACTCGATTAAGTGGCTTTTTATAGCCAATGTTAATTTAATTGATAAACAACTATAATTGTAAGCAATCATTGAGTTTCTCTCAGTTTCTGGGCAACAATGTAAAGCTAATTACAAGCATGAGTCGTTTGTTCAATTTAATTTCATCTCTAAAGCCAAAAAACAGGGTACCAATTGTTTGTGTAAATACTATTAGCTTGTGGAACTCCTTTTGCAGAGCTTTTGTGGTTAGCACGAAACTTGATCTGCAGGAGGAGTCCTTGTTCTCTAATCTTAATCTAAGACTTACTCACTTAAGCAAACCTCTCTCGAATAATTGTTCCAAGATCGAGAATCAATTTTATTTTAAAAACCTAAAACTTCCGTTCAAGGACCATATTGACTGGAAGTCGTAATTCTTCCTTTTTTTTTAATGACATTTTGTCGAAAAGGATTCAATAATTTACGAGTTACTTTAAACGAATAACACCGAACAGGACAATTCAATTTGTCCAAAGAGTCCCTGGAGAGCAAGTGGAGAACACTACAGGATGGAGAGCCGAGGACACAGGACGCAGGACAAAGAGGAACTGTCAAGACACATATATGTCATTAAGGGGATCCACTGCAAAGCATTATGGGAATCCGCCGCTGGGACGTTTAAAACTCCACAATTCCGCATGTTTATGCTCATCTACCCACATCCCGTTTGCATATTCATGTGCTCCGCACTTTCCCCCGTACTTATGTATAAATAATCTGTGTCAAATTTGTATAGTTTATTTTTTAATAAAACCCGAATGATCCTTGCGAAACTTTACGAGCCAACTTTTACGCGCCACGCACAGCTCAACACGTTGATGAACTAGGCCGGCGTGTCTGTTTCCGTTTTTCTTGTTTTGGGCGCCTCTAAGCTCCAGCACCGAGCTCCATAAATCCAGTGGGGCTCACGTCCACCCTGGGCCCAGACCCCGGGACCGAGTATATTACAAAATTTTATGTGTGGCGCAGGCGGAGGTCGCCCATCACGATAGGCAATAGCCGGGGACACTTGCCGGGCTCCAACCCCAGGACGCTTCCCATCCTCAATTACCTCAGTGGAGAAGCTAGCTGGCTGGCCAAAATGCAAAACAATGTTCCTCTGAATGTCGCAAACAATGCGCCTTCCGAAAATGCGCCTCGCAGTTTGAATTTTAAAACTGCGTCGGAAACAGGAACCCAATTACCAAAAATAATGAAAGATAGACTCCACCGGGCGGAAATGGCCTCCCGACCCCGCCCACTGACCGATTGCCTTCCCCTTCAATTATGCAGAGGCAGACGAGCGAACGGAGATACACGGGGGGAAAATAATTACATAGCCTTTGTACAATAGAAGGCATAAAATTATTTGGGTTTTGAGGTTTCATCTCGTCAAAAAAATCCTTGGAGCATATCTATTTTTTTTAAATATTATATTTTCTGTCATTTATCCATGCTGGCAGCACTTCTTCCTCCCAGTGCACTTAGAACTTTTGATTGCGCGATATTTCATCAGGTTCCGCTGACCATCTGCCCAAAGTTTAGAGTCCGTAGCGACGAATCCTGGCCATTCCGGAATGTAAATGCCGAACTGAAATGTTTTTCGAATGCTTATTTCATTTTTAGTACGCATTCCGTCCAACAAAGCAATTTCGCGGGATGAAGAGTCACTTAACGAGCGGTTCGGGGCCCAGAAATTAAAAGCATTCCGGTAGGCTCCCCAGTTTTATTGGCAGTCGACTCGGATCAAACTTGCTCCAAAGGATAAAAGGTCGAAGGAGGCCGGATGAGAGGCAAGGGCAGGATGTTTAGGTCGCAATAAGTACAATCGTAAAACAGGAGACATGTTCATGTTAACTTAGGCCCATTCCCTTGGCCCAGGCGAACGAGTGATGTGTAGACAAGACATCAAGGCATCGTTACAACAATTATACAAATTTATGGAGCAATTCCAGTCCCCATTATCAACATGACGCAAACTCAGTGGACGCGGTGAAGTTTAGTTGGTGAGTGACCTACATTTCCACCAGCATCTCCATTCAAGCGTGGAGCGATAAAGTCATGGGCCATGTCCTATCGCATTAAAACAGAAGAGTCAAGGATACGTTTATGTTTTCCACTATAGCTAAGTGGGAAGCTGTTGGATTAGGGCAGAGAATAGCTTACATGGAACCACTGAATACAGTTTAAAGACATTTTTTCAACGTACACAAAAGTTTCACCTTAAATATTACAAAATTTCTTGAGTTTTAATGGAGGTTGATTCCTCTTCCTATTGACTCGGAGTGTATTTCTTACGTTCTTATCTTTACAATAAATTGAAAGGGGTGCCAAGAAATCAACAATTTTTTCACGAGGATTCCACTTAATATTTTTGTTTGCTGGAAAAGAAATTCACTTAGATTAATCTCGCTCTGGATGGACTGGGAACGACCCAAAGTCCACTATAGCGACAGAGCTAAAAGGTTGGTGGGGTTGTCGGGACAGCCGGCAGTTCCTATCTTGTGCTCACTACCGCCTCCTTGCGCGCCGCATCTTGCAGCAGCTGGGTGTCTACCTCGTCACCAGGCAGCTGCACGTACCGGACCACGGAACCCCGGATGAAGCAGTTCTTCACGCTCAACATGTGCGGGTACTTCTCTGGATCCGTCACGCTGATGTCCGTCAGCTTGATGTTGAGGTATTGGTCCACCGAGTGCAGTGTCCCACAGATACTGATGACCCGGAAAGTGGAGATCAAATCAAAGTTTAAGGTGAGCCGGCAAAACACGCGCTGAACCAAAACAAACGCCACTTACCTCAGGTCGTTTTTTAGTTCCACGACGACTTCTTTGCCCACCAGCGACTTGAAAAAGGAGTAGAAGAGCTGCGGGCAGAAAACTTTAAAGATTTGGTCCAGATGGGTTATATTCTGGGTCTTTTTACCATTGTTATTCTTTATTTAAATCTTTGGTCAAGAAATAAACACTCTTTCGTTGGCTACGCGGTATTAGTCAGGCCTTATATTTAATACCACATTTAATACCAAATATATTGGTAGAGATGGTAGACAGAAATACTGGAAAAATACTGGATAACTTGGACAAAATACTGGGTGGGTGTTTTTAAAGCAGCCAGGTTCACAACCGGTGGGCTAAAAAAACAGTATTTAGTTGGGTTCGCAAACTTATATTATTAACCCTAATATTTCTTAGTGGTTACTAATTAAAAATAAAATAAGCTTATTTTATGCCGTTTAGAAAAGGTAGATATATTCCGGCCCAAGAAAGTCCCCTTGATAACAATAAACGAAATTTACCTTCCCTCTAGACTCCAGAGGAATTGAGAAGAAATGTAAAGGTTTTTGGCTCAAACGAGAAGGCTCAAAGAAACAGGGTCAAACAAAGGGCCTCCAATGAATCCCCCCAATATATTCGTAGCAAATATCAACCATTATTCAAAACGCCTCCCATAAATTTCGGTTAAGATGTATATTTTAGGGGGAACAGATTAAATTGCACTTGCTAATACAATTATTGACTTTTAAATTACATTTAATAACAATTTTCGGGGGGGATGCTAAAACTATTTACAAACATAGGGGGCACAGTGACCGTTTCGTGTTTCTTCATCAGATGTTCTACATTAATCTCTCCTTGTTTGCCTCTAGATTCTAGACTAACAACAAAATGTACTGCTATTCCAGTTTTTTTTTTTCATTTTCCATATCGCCACAATTCAAGAATCTTAAAATTTCAATTAGCTTAAAAAAATCACATTTCATGTATCTTGTTCTACAACTTCAAGGACTGATGGATCCCTGGCCGATCGGAGCCTGCAAACTCTAACGCTAATAAATTCGTCTCTGCCTCTCTCATGACCATCTAGTGCTCCGAGCTGAAGTAGGAGTTCTGCATCAGATACAGCTTGTCGATGGGGTTTATCAGGCTGTTGTTCAGGTTGGCCAGCATGTCGTGGGGATTCGAGTGGGAGTGCTGGTTGCCTGAGGAGCTGGTCGATTGCAGCTCCAGATTGTTCAGCGACAGCGAATCCGCGTCGTCGTCCAGCTGGTCGAAGTTGCTTCCATCCAGCGAGAGGTCCGAGCTGCAGAAACTGTCGTTCGAGTTGGCCGGATAGTCTGTAAGAGATCGAAGAAGTTAGTAGGGATATTCACTCCTATCACCTAAGTAGTGACAACTTACCATCCGGCGAGAAGGGCAAGTTCGGATTAAGGGGCTGGCTGGCAAAGGTGCTGTCCAAGCCACCCAGATACCCAGAACTGTCGCCACCAATCTCCTGCTTGACGCACTTTTCCTCTTTATCGTTGGTGTCCTTGTCGTCGGTGGCACTGGAGTTGCCCGCTCCCCGACCGCTGCCACTGCCCCCGGAGCCGCCATTCTGCTTGGCCTTGCGTTGGATCTTCTTCATCTTGGCCCGCTGGTTCTGGAACCAGACCTGCACCACGCGCACCGAGAGACCCGTGTCCTTGGCCAGGGCTTCGCGCACTTTCCGGCAGGGCTTGGGCGACTGATCGAAGGAGGCCTTGAACTGCTTCCGCTGCTGCGAGGTGAGGATGGTGCGGGGTCTCTTGGGGCCACGACGACCATCGCGCGGCCGTAGCAGATCCTCCTCGTCCAGACCCACGAAGCCGCAGTGCTGAGCCGCAGCCGCCGCCAAGAACATCTCCTTCTCCAGGTCGTGGCGGAAGCAGAAGAGCTGGCCGTCTCTCAGCATGAACTGCTCGCCCTTCTGCAGGGGCAGTCGGCAGGCGTAGCACACGAAGCAGGGCAGGTGGAAGACGAAGTTCGGGATGGGACGCATCACCAGCTCCTGGGGCAGGATCGCGTGGCAGCAGGAGGCGCACTTGACCCCGAACAGCCGGTCGTAGTCCATCTTGCAGTAGAGCTTCGAGTTGCGAACGTAGCAGGTGTGGTGGAGCTGCAGGCCGCAGTAGCAGCAGGCGAGGCACTGCTCGTGCCAGTTGGCCTCGCCGACGTTCATCAGGAAGCGGTCGTGGATCTTCTGGCCGCAGCCCTCGCACAGCTCAAAGTTCTTCTCGCACTTGATGTGGCCCACTTCTGGAAAGAAGAAAAAATAAGGATTATTATTTAGGATAAGATGAGGAGATGAAATATTTTCCTTGGTTTTAAACATGTAATAAACCCCAATAAAAGAATATTATTCTGCTTATGATTTCTCGCTTGTAGGGGACTTTTTCTTAGCGCCCCCTGGGATGGGCATACGCGGCGTATACGTGCTGGCAGCACATGTCGCAGCGAAATTATCATGACATGTGCTGCCATTGGCGCAAGGACCACCCTGACAATCGAATCGTGTGAAAATGCTTCAACGTCTCTCTTGTTTTTCCTGTCAAAGTCGAAGCAGGGAACATAAGAAAGAAACTCTTCGAGGAAAACAGAAAAGAAAAAAGATTATCTGACGCCTGCAACAGCTTGTATTGAAAGCTTGTTGATGCGTAATTGAAACGTAAAGTTTTCTGTATTTGTTTCGGGAATCTCCCTCATTATCTGTATCCTGCGCTCAATTGATTTTGCTTATTTGCACAAATTTAATCGGATGCCGAAGGATATACTTTTACATACGGACTTGAGGGCTCCTCCCCGCCACGAACTCACGCCAGAGCGGCACTAATCCTCCGCCCGTAGAGGCGCTCTTGAAACTGTAAACCAGTCATAAAAAGTAGTACCCGAAAACACAACAAAAGCTGCCTGCAGTAAACATAAAAAATATATGACGACCGCCACGAAAAATGTATGGAAGCATTTGAAAAATGAGCAGCAAGTTGGGGAAAGCCAGGCCAGCCGAGGGTGACTGCCAGGGAGTGGAGTGCTATATTATATGGCTGTGGCTCAGTGGCAGAAAAATGTGCATGATTTATGGTTGGCACAATGGCGGTCCCACACACACACCGCACCCCAAAAGAGGCGGCTACGTCTATGCAGATGTGTGCGTGAATAGTTGGTAACGAGGAGAATGGGGGTCACCATCCGCCCTAGCCTCTCCAAGGGGCGCCTGCTTTGTGTGCTAAGCCACTCCTGGCAAAAGCTGACAATGTTCTCCTATTCTCCCTGGATACAGTACTATATCGCCCAATATCCAAACCCTATTCCCTATGCAATCGCATCATCGATAAAGGTTTTTCCAACTCAAAACAAAAGTGCAAAAAAGGAAAACAGTGCAAAATGATTCATTTGATAGAGCCCCGGGGGAATAGCGTTTTGAATTTCGCCGTTTTTTAGAGCTTTCTCGCATCGATATTGTGTGACGGGTTTCCGTTTGTGTAATCTAATCGAAATTTATGGCATTTCGCTGCAGTTTTATGAACGTTACTCTTTGGTTACTAGGCCTGTCCTTTGTTGGCCCTTTTTTTTTGTGGGCCAGCCCAGACCCAGGCCCAGGCCCAGGACGCTGTGTGTTTTCGGGATTTTCTCTTTCATATCCAGCCCTTGGCGAATCTTGTCGAAAAATCAACAAACAACAAGCGCAAACAGTGAAAACAAGTGCGGCACACTCATGTCACAATACATAGATTAAACAGCAGATAAATCCAAAATCAACTCGACGATAAACAGCGAAAAAAAAAAAAGAAATTATAACCAGCTAATAGACATCGGCGTCGAAACAGTGTCCTCGGCGTTATCGCCGATAAAATGGCTTATCTGTCGTACTATATGGTGCATTTATTGACACATTGACAGCCCGGCCGGAGCTCTATGGAGATAAATGGGGGGACTATAGAGATCGGCCGGGCCGACTCCTGGCATTAATTCAGCCACTAACCGGAGCTCAGTCCGTCCACGTGCCGCGCAGATTTTTTTGGCAGCAGTTAGCCTTTTTGACAGACAGCTCATAATGGGACAGCCGTAATGACGGCTGCCAATTCGGTCTTAAAAACTTGTAGATAGTTTGTATCTACACGGAAAGAAATAGGAAATTGATCACAAGATTAAAATATATATATTTTTTGAGAAAACATACAAGATTCTTGGATGATTTCCACCAAAAAATCGTCAACTAAAACTAACAATTTATTATTGCATTTAATTTCCAGTGTATCTGGATCTCTGCGTGAAAGTGACATGGAGCTATGCATATGGCACATACTTCACTTCCACACTCGAGCACATCGACACACACACACACTCTGGAGCGGAGGAAGTTGAAGCCACCGCAGAAGCCAGATATGTATGCTGATACGCTCGGTGGAATACCTGACACTGAGTGTGCTCATTTCCGTGGTCTGGTCTCTGTCCTCCGAGAGCCCCGCACGACCATTTCGGAATTCCTCGACCTCTGCCAGCTTGATAGTTGAATTTAAACTGTGGGGGCACTGATAGTAGTTGTGGCAGTCGAGTGGAGTGGCTTTCGGGGCGCATTTGTGGCGGAAGCGGAAACTATTTGCTGCCATTTGGATCAATGGCAAGTGGCAAAAGGCGAGTGGCAAGTATTAATAGAAATTTCATTGAAAGCCTCAAATCAAGAAGGAGATCCCCCTCAAAAAGAAAAAAAAAACACAATCCACTTGGTCTCGGACGAGGTCTTCTCGGCATATGCATCACACATTGTTTGCACACTTTGCATTTTCAGGGGGAAATTCGCAAAAGTTTTCCACCGGCAACACTTTCCTGGCTGCTGGAAAGCTTCTGCCGAAAAGTGTTGCCTATTTTCTGGCTGTCTCGCACAAGTCCTGGTTTTTGTGCATGTGTGTTTGTGTCTGCATGCCAACGCATGTGTGTTGGATGGAGGATGTGGCCTGCCTTAATAGCCTTTTATTGGTTATGCCACGCCCTCGGCACGGGCGGGTGTCGGCCAGGTTCATTGTCAAAATTATTTTGTGGTCAACTTGCGTTCATACTTTTGGCAATACTTTGGCCCGTACATCCCCCCACCCCGCTCTCTCTGGCTCTTCAACTAAATCTATATCCTGCCATGTCAGTTTTAGGATTTATTTATGTTATTCATTTGATTTTATTTGCTTTAAAGGCCCACAGAAATCATTCATTTATAAAAACATGTCTCTATTTATGAATTTTAATAAACTCCTCCTAAACAAATAAAGTTGAAAATAAATATTGAATGGAAGCTATGATATTAATAATTTCGGATAAGGATAATTAAAATCCTTACTATTAAATGGCAACTAAACGCAAATAGACAGAAACATTAATGTGCTAATTATGATAAAATTATTAGAGTTCATGAGACCCAAAGGTAATCTAGAGAAACTTTTTATTTAAAAACCTTCTTTAAGCGAAAATCTGATAAACGTTTTGGTTATTTTCCCGAAAGGAAAGAATTCCTCTTGGCCCAAAGCCCAAGAACTTGGCACGCAAACTGGGGCCGGAGTTGGCCAGCTTGGGGATGGAGGTGGCCGCACACAATCAGGACCCGGCCGCCTACAGGTTCGCACCTGCCAGGAGAAGCTGCCGAGTCTCCGACCCCCAGGCTGGGCACACGCAACTATGCCAAAAACGAAAAGCGTGAAAACCCCGGAACGGCTCCCGGAATGGGGCCGAGACCGGAGCCGGGGAAATGCCTCGACTGCCGGTGTGCAAAATACTTTTGGAACATACCTGTGCGTCCACTACAATCGGCCGACAATTTCGGTGGGGCAGCCGATGTTGCTCCGGCTCCAGCGGCCGATCCATTTCCATTTCCGTTTCCTGTGGCCGCTGGCGTCAAGGATGGAGTGGCTGTTGGTGTTGCCGTTGTCGATGTTGCCGATGCAGCAGCAGCAGCCGCCGCGGCAGCAGCAGCAGCAACAGCGGCAGCAACTGCTCCGCCTAATTGCGAGGTGGCGACTGAAGGAGCTGCTGGTGTGGCAGCTCTAACACCATTAGCAACACCAGCAGCTGTTAATGTGTTGCAGGCAGAGTGGTTGCTGTTGTTGTTGTTGTTATTGCTGGGGCTATGTCCTGTGGGCGTGGGGCAGCTGTTAATTGGCACTGGCGTGGTCGAGACTGTGTGTTGCTGATGCTGGTGGAGTTGCTGCTGTTGTGCGGAAATTAGGGGGCCCGTTAATGAAGCCGTTGGGCTGTTGCTGCCGGAAATGTTGTTTCCTAAATGATTGTTGTTGTTGGTGGTGGTGCTGAGGTGCAAGGTATTACTGGCACTATTGCCAGGATTGGGATTCGGATTGTCCAGGAATCGAGCACCACCATGGTTCTGTTGGAGCGAATACAAGCCGCCACCGACTGGATTCAGATTCGTGGGCATCGGGTAGAACTCCAACATCTCAGTGTCTTTTCTTTTTATTTTGATTTTCTTGTTATTGTATCTTTAGAGTTCAGTTTCTTTTTATTCACAAAGTCACTCGCGAGTCACGACACACGAAAATCGAACCGATTCGTAAGATTGTTTATGAGTCTGGATGTCTGTGGCTGTTGTGTTCCGCTGCGGAGCGAGGACGACCAGCCGCGTTCGCTGTCAGATGGCGTGTGATCGAACAATCAGCGAAATCAAAGCATTTCACTTTGCCCTTCCACTGGGAAGTACGGCGGACAAAAGTCCCAGCCGAAACGTACCCCCGGGAGGCGCAACGGCCGGACTGCGCCTGCGCCTGTTTACAAAAGCAACGGAGCAACAACTGCCGACTACGGGCTCTGCTGCACGTGACGTGGGACGGCCAGGGGTGGCCACCGAGAGGCGATCCGGGGGTGGCTCCGTGTTGCAAGGGTTGCACCCGTGCCCGCTGCAACAACCCCACGTCCCTTCGGTGGCGCGGCGCATGTCTCGAGTGATTATTGTTGGCGAGGAAATTTCCGGAGCGCGGAGAAAATTTCCCTCCTCAACCAGAGGCCACACCTCAGCCGGGCTGCCATTGGCTGAATCCATTTCCCCGGCGACCATTTTTATGCGGTGCGCATGCCGCAGGGGAAGTCCCTTTGTTTCCTCTTTTTTTTGGTGCTTCCTTCAAGGAAGTCTTGGCTTTAATTCTAGGCGATTTAAGGGGCGTGTTGCTAGTGTTGCTGGTGTTGCTGTTGCAGCTGCTGGGCCACAAAGACATACTTGCACTTGCACTCGCGGCAACTTTGGCGTGTTCGCTGCTCGGCGACGACAATTTCCTCGAGTTGTTGCTTTGAGTGGCAAGACTGGACCAGAATGTCAGCAGCTACAACAAAAATAATAACAAAAGCGACAACAACAACCCACCCATAGCCTTGTCTTTCTTGGCCCTTTTTTGGAAATTGCATTTTACTTTTTTGCGAATGCAGAAAGTTGGGGATAAGCCAGCTGAAAATGGGTGATCTAGATACCAGGTTTCATTTTTTACTAAAATTATTCACAACAAAAGAAGATATCTATAAAAATCTTTAATACTTTGTTAAAGAAAAAACTAGGCCTATCTTTAGAAAAGTGAAAAATAAGGTACAATTATTAGATTATATTTATCAATCCTATATACTGTTTTAAAAAAATAAAGATATAACCGTATAATAGATTATTTTAAGGATTAAAGGAACCTCAGAGTGCTGCACCCTGTTGGAGCCTTTCAAGACATTCGACAAGACAAGCAATCAGGCCAGAAACCCATTTCCGCCATTCCCCCTCAAAAAACCAGGGAACTATCCGCCTCCGCAAACAGGCTCACACTGACACTGGCCCACACACACACACACTCGCCGAGTGAAAGAATAAAAGAAAGTGGAGCGGTAGAGAGAAAGGCGGAAGCTGGAAAGACAAACCAAACATGGGGCTGGGCACAAAAGTTTGGGCACTTCTTCTGGAGTCGGAGCAGGATGTCTTCTGCTTTGGCAACTTCATGGGGCGGCTTAAGACTAGGCTTTGGCGCAGCGTGAACTGCCGACCACGACACCCCCTCCTCGAAGTCGGATATGTTTCGCCAGCTTAGGGTTACCTGGCAGGAGCCCTAGTCCGGACCAAGTACGAGAATTTTGCGAACTTGTTCGCATCAAGCAGCACTTGTACCGGGAATTGGCATGGCGTGCTTCTTTCTGCTTTCGACTTTCTGGTTTCTTGTTTTTTGAACTCTGTGCTCCCCGCCCCGTCAGTTTGTGCAACTTTGAAAACTTTATTTACCGATTTCGACTGGCACAAAGGCCACTGAAGCCTTAGCTCAGGATCTGAGGCGATGTGCGCATTTGCTGTGGAATTATAACAAAGCAGCGAAAAAGTATCTGCAGCACGAGTTTCGCCTCGATTTCCCTCTGACCTGATGCGAATGTTTTCCGTATCGCATCCACATCCAGTACCCATCCACACACAACAAAGTCGACGGCAAGTGTGCACAGAATTTAAAGCAATTATTAGAAGTTTAGTCAGGCACTCTGGGCTCTGAATCTTTTTTGGAGGATTCATAGACGGAGAGTCCTGATGAAACATCTAAAATATATCTCTGAATTACCAATCAATATGTTAAAGAGCCTCTGATGACTGTTACCAGGTTGGTAACTAGCTTTTCCGAGCAAAGTTCAGATGGTTAATAGAACACTTTATGACGGCAATTGGCAGCCATTCAGAGGCGTGTGTATAATTAATCCTCGACCGTAAAACGCCTCAAACAGATAAGGCTAATGGGAGGGGTCTTCCACTAGTCAGCTGGCCACTGCTGTGGCTAAATTATAACCGTAATACAGGACCCATAAAGATAAATGTACCCCGTATCTGCAAGATAGCAACAGTCGAAAATTCAATTAACCTTGACAAAACGCAAAACCCATCGGCATTATGATGACAACATCATAGAGTCGATGAGTTCCGAAAACTACCTCTAAACAACAATGGCTCCGAGTGGAAATTGTCATAAAACAGGAAGATAAACAGGATCAGAAGGGACGGGGAATGCGAGGGAACTGGAAACAAATTTAATAAAAATCAGGACTCCCGGCAAAGGGTAGCAAGGGTTCGTTCCGTATTCGGATTCGGATTCAGACTTCGATTCGGGTTCAGTGCGTCCATTGTCCCTGCCCTTTTTTATCTATGGACAACGCCTGGGTAATATTGAACAACCACAACAACAACCATAACAACAGGAGCACGGTCGGCAGCCTCAGGATAAATAGTTTTTGTATGGCCCTTCAATTACCATTTGAGCATGATAAGCGCTAAAGAGGCATTGGAAAGTGGAAAGTGGCAGGAGCTGTCGGTCTCCATAGCTGGCAAGAAAGAATACCCAGTGGAAGAAACCGCACAAGACTCCTTGAAATATGCCTCGAAGGACCACCATTGCGGAGCCTGGCATAGGGGTCATTAGATGGAAACATTTACTTAGCAGCCACAAGCCTTTGGCGGCCAGTCGAGCAGAAACATCGGCCCCAGATGGAGCGGGTGGTGTCATTGTTTGTTTTGCCAAGGATCTATAATCGGAACACTCGAGGGGCCCTGCAGAATATAAAAAGATATATTTGGCCACAAGAAGGACTCCGCTACAGCTGCTCTGAGAATAAGGAAAAACTGTCAACACGCTGCTACTGCTTTTAGACGAACATCTAGGATCTATATCTAACAATTTCTCTCAGTGAGGCTGCTCAGTCGCCCTCCTCCTGCCACCAAATATGATATGTGTAAACAATGGGATGTGCCACGAATGCTGCACTGCACTAGCATCCTTAGAGGGAAAGTAGAGGGAGGCGAGCGGAGGGTACGCAGCAGGCCGACCCTGAAGTGGGCTAATTTGATGGTGTCCCGCGTGGCAAATGCAACCCCAGCGGTGGCAAGTCTGCCGTCCAGGCCTTCCAGGCCAGAAGGAAAAGTGTTAAAGGATTTATGCGCGTAATTTTGCAGATGTTTAGATTTAGCTGCAGCTTAAGTACACAACAAGAAATCGTTTTTAAATAGATATTTGAATGGAAAATATTTCAAACTTTAAAGGTTTAAAATACTAAAAGTAAGCGCAAGCAAGAATCTTCATTTATAAAACTATAACTCGTAGAACTCGTCCAAAAACTTTATTATTTTTCTTTTAAAAGGTCTGACTCTTTACTAAATTATAGACATTTTTTTCAGTGCCGCTTGCCTTTAATCATTTTCTGTCCAGTGTCAGCACCCGAGTCCATCTACAACCTCCAGGCAGCCGCTCTCTTCCCCCTGATCGAAATCGGATTCCCTTCACGGGCAGCCACTGACAGACATGCTGTCTCGCCTTGCTCATAACCAGGACACGTTAGACGTGAAGGACACGCAGGACTGAGAGTCCAAAAATGGAGCGAGGACCTGAAAGGCGAGTGCGAGGCTGCCTTTGTGAATGTGGATGTGAAGTGGCGCAGCATGTGCTCAATTTAGTTTTGAATATCGTCTGTCTTTTGGCTCCTTGGGCCTTCGAGATTCCAGTAATAATCCTTGTTTGTTCAATGTCAATTTTAGTAATGTTTGTTATTCCCCCCCGGACCTGATCTCTCTTAAGCTCCCACTGGGACTCTGTTTATTATTGGCTGTTGTGGCTTATTTGACTTTTGGATATTTTTTTCCGGCTTGCAACTTTGCAGGCTTTTGTTTATAATCGGGAATCGTGAATCGCGAATCGGAAATTAAACGATGTTTATGCCAAATGGGGACTTTTGGATTTAATGAGGCCCTGGGAAGAATGTGTGAGTCAGCCCGCTGGACATCGCAGTGGATCTGCATTTGCGCATTCCAGAGCAAAAACAAACAGTTGTGAGTTGGTGTGAAATTTTTGAATTCTGGGAGCCGCAGAGTCTGTGGCTGTGGCCAGGGTGAATACCGAATGCTGTATGTTGAATGCTGAATGCCGAATGCCGGGATCGTCCAATCGAAATCCGGCTCCCCAAATATTTAAAAGCCCGCAGCCCTTCGTCCTTGCCAGCACTAGCTCCTGGCCCCCACCGGTCTGTCAAAATGAAAATGATACTTTGAAGTTTTGGGCAACGACAAACGCCAAAGACAAATACAAATATTGGCAATACGCTAAAGCCAAAATCAAATAGAAGCCCAAGTTGGCCGAAACCGAAACCAATATTCATTTGGCGTGCGCTGGAGCGGCAATAAATTGCTCAGCTGCCAGTGACTGGCTACGCCGGAGATTTGCAGATTTTGGGGGTTTTCCAGGGCCAGTAACTAAGGGTGGGAGTGGGGGAGGTGGTATGGTTGGATGGGGACAAAGGTCAGAGGGTAGATACGCGATTCATACGCGTGTTTTTAGTGCTGCCCAGCGAAAGCCATAAAACTTATATTTCAAAAAGACCAGCCAGGCACTGTGATTTTAAATAAACATAAAATAGATAACAATTTCATATACAGGTATATGTAGGTATATTATTAATTACAATTATGTCTAGAATCTAAACACTTCAAGGTTCAGACAGCTTTATAGCTTGTACTTTTATACTGACAAAACAAGCACTATTTATAAGCTCAATGGAATATTAAATATAATATTAAAGAGTATGTAAGATTAAATATTTTGGGATCCTTTCTAATCACACTGTGCCACACGCAGCATCGATGGCCCCGCAAATTGTTTGCGTGCTGCTTTTGCTTGACTATTTTTCATTTTGCTAGTGGCCGCTTTAGTCCTGCCGCTACCGTCCCTCAGCCCCTACTCCCTTCTTGCCACCACTCTTCAGTAGAATTTTCGTTTTGCTTGCCAGAACATTTTCCAATTTCATTTGCGTTGAGAACGCGGAATGTGAGCGCGAACTGGCTTTCGGGGGGCATTCATCATTGGCAGGACGCCATCATCAGTTGCCGGCTTGGTGGGCATCATCGTCACCCGGCTCCATCGCCATTTCCAGCTCCATCATCATCACCATCACCATCGCCATCACCAGCTCCAGCTCCACCTCCAGCTCCATCGTCATCTCCATCTCCGGCACCCTAGACAGCCAGTTGGCCGTTTGAAAAAGCAACATTTCAGCCATATTTTTCTTGCTTTCAATTTGGCGTATCGCGCTTTGGCCATTTTTCATACGGACGCTTTGATGCGTAACCCGACAAATGCCCCCGGGTATCCCTCCCTATCCCTGATGCTCCCAAAGCTTCAGACTCTACTTTTTTCCAGCTGCCTCCGTTCTGGCCAAAACGCAAACGCATAAAACGCGTCCTTTGAGCGATTTGAAGTCAAGTGTAAAAAGCGTTTTTTGCCAAACAAAACGGAGAGAACAACAAATTGGCCGAGCACAGAATAAGCAAAGTGTTTTAAGTTTAATTTGAAAAATATTTGAATTTTGAGCATTTCTTGGGTCAGTGGTCAGTCATTAGTTCGACCCCATCTATGATTCATCACCAAATTGGTGTGATTATCCTTATTATCTGGTAACTGGCTGGGAAAAATCAGCCAAAGATATACATACATAAATTATAAAGCCGTAATGTGCAAACATCGGATATCCCTTTTGAAATGTTTCACAGAGTAATCCTCCCCTGGCACTTTCCCACCCATTCTGATTCCCATTCCCCATATCCACTTTTCTGCCAAACTCCAATCAGCCGCACAATCTCTGATTGCGACTTTGCTCGCATCGCAAACGTTTCAATATTTACACAAATTGCTTTCAACAGATACAGATTCAGATGCAGATACAGGCACAGATTCAGATACAGATAGGGATATGGATATGGATATGGATCGCATCTGTGTCCACCCAGTCGTTAAGCGCACTTCATGGCCAATCGCCGATACTAAAAGTTGTCATTTCAATCTGTCCCCGTCGAATATGTGTGTGATTCGGCCCATGGGAACGATTCCGAGGTTTGTTTAGTGTGGAATAAATGAGGGCAGGGCTCTGAAAACAATCGTAATGACCGTGGGTGGTTTCAGGTCTTTTGACAGGGGATAGCAAGGATATTGGCGTTGGCGTGCGAAAAGATCAAATCCTTTGTTTTCGGAGTTGGATTGATTTCGGGTTTATTTTATTTAAACTCTCTATCATTGTGCTTGATTTAGCAAAAATTAAGAACGTATTATATCCAATAGTAACTCTAGCCAATCTGAGGACTTTAGCTACCTCCTGCCATTTTTGAGGTCCTTATAGCTAGGATGGCCAATGGCCGAGCAGCGTTTATGGGGCTAAACCAGCTTGAGGTCAGCATAAAAATGCAGAAGCATAAAAATACAGACCAAGAGTGAATAAACAATAAAAAAAAATAAAAGACAAAAAAAACCAGGTCCTTTTTGGCAGTAGTTTCTGTTGTTCGGGTAGCACTTGTTGTGGTTGTTGGAGTTGTTTTTATTATTCCCAGGGACTACGACGACAAAGACCAAAGACAAGGCTATGGGGAGAGCCTGGCGAAAGCCAAAAAAAAATACAAATACATGGCCAACACACACACAATTGCAATGGCCATCTCATACATATTCCGTTTACGTAGCCCGTTCGTTTAACTGTTGTTTTTATGCGCTGCAGACAAATATTTGCTTTCCGACAATAGTCATAAATACCAAAAGCTACATGCTCGGCATACTTAGGAATACTCGCACACACACAGAGGCACACACACATACACACTAGCGCCCAGGGCGCAAATAGAAATCGAGGAAAGCAAATAGCGCACAGGATATGGTTTTTGGCAGGATAGTGGCAAAAGGAGCAGAGCAAAAAATGCGATGCCAGCGAAAAATGCTAGCGACTCGATCCTTTCGGAGAGGCGGCCACAAGGGGGTTGCGGGGCAAAGCGCCTGCAGGGCCAACAAAATGGCTGCGCAAAAAGCGGCAGCAGTCGCCAAAAATATTAGAACCAGGACAAAAAAGAACGAAAACGACTGCCGGCCAAAATGGCAGCAAAAGTGGCCACATCCCCATACCACTTTCCACGAGAGTAAATATATCTGCAAAAATAGCTTGGCAATGGTCAACGGAAACAAGTCAAAAGGTTTAACAGAATGGCGACCAACGGAAATGGGAAGTCCTTGGGCTACAGGACACACCAGCAACACATCAGAATTACTCACTTTTCGAATTCCATCACTGACCTGGTACATAAAAAATTATAAAGAGATTTGTTTATATATAATTATAAGAGGTAGATAGAGATTCTTATAGAAATTATTAAGAGAGTGGCTAAAAACATTCCAACTAATGGCTTTTAATATTTTTCGGCATTAGTATTCCATATATTGGGAAGAGTGTGGTGATCATATATGGGAAAGACGCCATATCTTGGCCAATATTCATTTGATTCTATAGCGGAATACCTTGAACGATTTGTAGATCCAATCTCCATTTATCTGCATTAAAATCTGAAAACCAATTTTTCAGATTTCTTTCAAAATTTTCTTGGGGGTTCCCTTCAAAAATCTCAAAATGTACGGGAACGTCATAATGATCTATTGGGATGGGCATATCGTGGCCAATATTCATCTGATTCTATTGCGGAATACCTTCAATGATTTGTAGATCCATTATCAACCAACTTGCTTTAAAGTCTGGAAACAAATTATTTTTTTTGAAAGTTTTCTAGGGGGTTTCTAGGGTTTTCTAGGGGTATTAATTCCCCATAAATCTGCATTAAAATCTAAAAGAAGATTTTTTTTTTAAATTTTCAATGAGACCTTGCAGTACCATATATTCCACGGTTTAAAGAAAACTCAATTTTAAGTAAATGGAGAGCGCCACGAATTTTTGACCCGCGAATTTGAAACTGGAATTGGAATATTGTGCAGCAGCAAAGGAGGAAAGCTTATCCATGTGAAAAATCTGTGCCGCGTGCCCCGAGTACGTTCCCCCGTTCCTGCCGGGCCGGTGCCTTTCACATACGATATTACACCTTCACGGCGACTATAGCGATGGAATCGAGAAGTGAAGAGCCACGGGACAAAGGGACGGATGACTGGGTGACTGTATGGCCGGCTGACTGGGAAACAAATAAACAAACAGGGGACTCACGTGCCTCGTCGGAGATTATCCGCGCATCGCAATCGCAACACCAACAAACAAACTACCCGCGGCGGGGTAGTAGGATTTGGATCTGCAGGGCAATCGTCCGATTCCCATTCCCATTAAGAGGACCTGTTTGACTTGCAAAGACCCAGGCCAGACCACACCCCGAGAATACCTCGGCCACTCTGAAAAAAAAATTCCCCTTCTGGCTGCTTTTTGCGATGCTAATCTCGGCGAAATGTTACAAAATGTTTAACAATTAAGTAGCGACACGCGCTGCCACGTTTCGAGTGTGTGTGCTCCTGGGAGTTTCTTTTTTTATTTTTATTGGGATATATCACTTACAGATACGGATATTGGAAGGCTGCTACAGATACGGATACGCGGCACTCGATGCTCGATTAAGCAGAGGGTGCGACGGCACTTGATGATGTGCCAATGTACCGATGCTGATCGCGGCGATAAAAAATGCAAAGAGCCAATCAAGAGTTCAAGTTGAATGGGAATAACATGTGTAGTCCTTGAGGTCGAGGTCCTTGAGGACAAGTGGCCTGTCATCGTGTGTATGTGGGAAAAGGAAGGCAAAGGATCCACGGTAATTGAAAACCACACATAATAATTCTAATGATTTTTGAATTTATGTTTATTAATGCAAAAAATATGCACTTTACACTTTTTTAGTACATTTATAATGTTTCTGTTAACGAAAATATCAAAGTATACGTGCAGAAGTCCCTAATGTAGTGTAGAGGAAGTCGCCAAAATGAAAACTTTTTAAGTAGCCCTGGCGCTAGCTGATACAGTGCAGTATTTCGATAAATTGTAATCTGGCATTAGACGTTATCGAAGTGCCCCCACCTCTTTCTTTTTTTTCACGTGGTCCAGAAAATAGGTGGTCTGCCAATTCACAGAAGCTTAACAAAAAAAAAACGAAAAAGGTACAAAGTCTTAAACGTGATGTCAAATTTTGATCCGTTCTCGTTTTTGGAAGATATGAGATCGTTCGGGCATTTCAATTTCAATGCCCCGAATGGCAACTTCACGGTAAGTTTTAACAATTCATCACGTGCTTTCGAAAGTTTCAAATCTAATTGGCGGGTTTATTGAAAAAGGGTAATAGCCAATACACCCCTCCTCCTTTCAACGGATCCACTGAGGGCGTCGACTTTAATAATCCGCTTCCTTCGCTGACTATGTTAACCCCAGGACCGGAAAGGGGCGTCTTCATAATGGGAACGGTTCCCGAGCGGATGATTCCAGCGGTAGGTTATGCCTCAGTTTAGTTTGTGTTTGGTATAATATATTTACTTTGGGGTTTTTTCAGCTATCCAATCTAATGAGAGAATTCCAGAGATTCTCTTTTAGCCCTGTGGGTCGGCAGTCCACAAGCATGCAGGCGATTGTGGAACCAAATCCAGAGGACCTATCTGATTCGCAGCCTTCAGGTCAACTCGGACAAAATGTGAATGATAATAGTAGTTGGCCCATAATACCATCAATTGAAGAATCAGAAACCGTGCCGATATACCAATCCTCTGCGAATTCGCAGCCTTCAGGTCAACTCGGACAAAATGTGTATGATAATAGTAGTTGGCCCATAATACCATCATTTGAAGAATCAGAAACCGTGCCGATATGCCAATCCTCTGGGAATTCGCCAAATGTGTATGATAATAGTAGTTGGCCCATAATACCATCATTTGAAGAATTAGAAACCGTGCCGATATACCAATCGTCTGGGAATTCGCAGAGGTATCTTCCGTCTTACGGATCCCAGCAGGCTCCGCAGTCCCAGCAGCAGGCTCAGACCCAGCAACAGCAGCAGAACTACCGAGCTGGAGGTACTGGTACAAATGCCATCACTGGTTCAACTGCAAATGGAGCACGTGTTGCAGCCAATCCTCCATTGTCTTTGGAGTACTATCCAACTGATCCTGGGTATCCCCAGACCTCTGGTCCGGCTGAAGTGCTAAATTTGTGCGATGGGATTCGTAAAGTCGACTTGAAAATGATTGGCGTGCTGCATGGTGAGAACCGGAAAAACAGATGCGAGTACTGCTACGATGGTAGCTTCCGATCCATCAAGCTCATGGTGAATGGGAAAGGTTTTCAGCAAAAGAAGATGCAGTGCCGCTTTTGCTGGAAGCAGCTGCCTGACTGGGATCAGTACGGCGACCACCTGGCAAAATGTGAGCCTGTGAAGATGCCTTACGGCTGCTGCTTGTGCCCATTCAAAGCCATGACTCGTGCTGAGCTAGAGGATCACTTTCTTAACTGCGATGGAGACGACATTTAAATAAATATTAACACTCATTCATTTTAATAAGTAAAATAAAAAAAAATATAAAGCCACAAAAAATAAAAAATTAAAAAAAAAAAAATCTTTTAACACTAATAAAATAACAGAAAAGAAAGAAAGCTAGGGGTGAGAATGGGTACAGGACCATAAGGACAACGACAAGGAAACGATAAAAGACCAACGACATGCGACAACAGAGCGGGAAGTTTGCATTGCATGCACACCACATGCATGCACACAGAAGGATATGAGGCACATGCTTGCAGGACTCATCCTGGCAGGCACACATACACACACACAGATGAACAGACAGCCCTCGCACAACCGCATAGCAGGCAAATGACACAAACAACGAACTGAAACGAAGTATAACCAGTGAAAAAAATCAACATGGCTTCAGTAGAAAAGCAGTTAAGCGGCCATGGCTTTTTGCCTCCGACATTCCTGTAGATGTCGGTGAGTGTGTGTGTGTGCTGGTCCTGTTTGGCAGGACAACCAATTGAGGCTCCACTTGTCATGCACGTACGGACATGAAAAGAAACACCCACTGGCGTGCGTCCCATGTCAATATCAGCGACCAGCTACATTTTGGCACTCCAGTTGCCAGAAGCCATCGTCCTGCTACACTACCATTCAGGATACGCCCGCAACTGCCCACTCTGGGCAAGCCACTACCTCCCACTGCCAATTGGTGGACGCTTCACTGCGTCCAATGACAAACCAAATATGCTTCGTGGCTTTTCCGCTAGACTCGATACCGGCCATACCGGCCAACTCATACACTCAGAGGAAACACTCACACTCATACCAATTTGAAATTGTTGGTTTTTACAGAATAATATTCCTGTTTTTCAAAACAAATTATAAATATTTAACTTTTTTAGCCTCAGAATCTAAGATTATACTAAAAGTTATACTAGAAATACTTTAAAGTTTAAACTAAAAAGAAAAAAAATAAACAGGTTTCAAACATACATTTTATCTAATTATTCTTGTATTACCTTACATATTCAAATATTACTCACTATTCCTATATTAAATTACTCATCAAATATTTCTCACTTCTTATTCTTTCTCTATATTTTAAAGAGATTTTAATTTGTATTTTTCAAAAATGTATACTATTTAAAAATAAAAACCCACAACCATATAGGGTCGTTTTTTTTTAAAGTGCACCCACACGCACTCGAAATCAATCAGACTCCAGCTCACAGGACATGTTACGGGTCATGAATGCCGCTTTGGCCATCGGCAGCATTCAGTCAATGTAAATGTAAATTTTCGCCTTTTTGTGGATCCCAACACTGTGCGACTGTGGTGGACTCCTCCTTCCGGAGTCCGAAGTCACGACTCTGACCATGATGAAGTGCAGCAGCAAGAGCACCAGCGATACGAAGAAGCCATTGTTGACATTTCAACATTTGACCACCGGCTGGACCGACTGACGAGCATACACACATACTTACTCTTGCCACAGCCGCCACAAAAAGCTCCATGCTGCGTGTGCGTCTCTCGAGCCGCACTCGAAGGCCAGTTTCCCATTCATGGCCACGGCAAGTGTTGCAAAGTTAATTACCAACAGGACTCCAGACTCGGTTAGAGCGGGACGCAGTTGCATGACAGGCGCTGGATGTCAAAGGGCTCGAAAATTGAAGGCCTCCCTTGTCAGCCGAATGGCTTTGGGGTATTGAGAAGGGGTTTACCAGGATGACCATGGACGCTGTGGTAAGAAAATTAAAGAATCTCTATATATGATTTATGTTTCACTAAGTTAAGGCAGGTAAGGTCTCATGAAATTTCTCGATTGGACCGACTCTCAATTAAGTATTTCAGGGGCCATCGACTGTCGGAAGAGTTCCAACCCTCAACTTGAATCCAAAACTGTACAGATCCAAGGGAAACCACACCCATTATTGCCAGTTGAGGTTGATGTTTTCAAATTCGACTTGACAAGCTCCAGAGGCAGAGCCACACACATTTCCCGATGCTACACTTATTAAAATTCATAGGAGTACCAAAGGACCCCCACGTATAGGACCCGGTTGAGTCCGTGAAAGCCTCCGGCGGGATGAGGAGAAAGCCCAACATAAACAAAGTAGTTGCCTGGTTGCCTTGGCTCGACGCAAAGTAAACATAAATAAGAGCAAACGGAAACAGAGGAAAAGGAGCTGTGCCCTCTGAGAAGACTACGACGACGACTCCGATTAGGTAAATACGGAGGTGAAGGCGCCGCTTCAAAGGATTCGAGATGCCACGACATCTTAATGATGATGTCATGAATAAATTAGTAGACGACTGGATGGAAACTACTATTTCGGCAGGAGCTAAATCATCTCCACGTGCCGGGGCGGAGTAGTGGATGAGATGGGAATGCCACTTCCCATTCGCCCAACTTAATGACAAAAATGAAGTGAACCGCAAAAAGTGGCATTGCGGTTACCGGAAAGGGCTGAGACTGAGGGGGCGTGGCAGGCTTAGCCGGAGCCGCCACAAAGCTCAAAAAATGTCTACGACCCACGCACGCACGTGTGAAAATCCCTTATATCCTCCCGATGAAGTCATTTAAATTAACTTGCGAATTATGCAAATGTGTGACAAAAGTGAAACTTCTTCCAGCCAGGGGTAGGTGTTCCTTTGCAGGTGGCCACCGGTCCGACATCAGTGTTGCAGCCACGCCTCCTTCAACACCCCGACTGCCGGGGTTGAAAATTAATTAGTTGCGCCTATTTTTGCGATCAATCATTCAATTTTCTGCGCCATAAAATCTCGTCGACCGCCCGGAAAACAAAAAAGGCATCAACACTTTCCGCAAAACAAGGACGCCACTTGTCCAACAAGCTGCTAGTTGGCTGCCATCGCCCCCGGACCTGTCCCGGTCCTCATCATCCGGTTCTGCACTGTTCCGCTGGAAACTGCCTCGTCATTTATGCGCTACGCTTTTTACGATGCGGGCTTGTCCTTGTTCCTCCTCCGGCTGCAGCCACCACCAGGGTTCGATTTTCGGGCGTGGAGGGGTGGGCCATGGTGATGACGAGTTTTTCCCGGATGGAAACCAGGATGAGGATGAGGACCAAGCAGAAACTGGGCTTGTCAGGCAACGCAATCTGTCACCATCCGAATAGTAATGAGCAAAAAAGCGATCATGATTGTTATTGCGATTGAACACAGGGTTCCCAAAAAAAACTAGTTAGACAATTTATTTCGATGAAAAAACTAACAATTTCGGAAACAAGCTTACATTTTATTTTACTCAAACTAAACTAGAACTAAAGCGAAATAGGATCATCTCTTAAATATTTCCTTTGGCTGTGGGTTCTTTGAGAATGAGAGTTACTATATAAACATGAACCATTTTTCAGAAAGTGCTATACTCTTACCAAAACTCAGACCTTTCGTTGGCAAATTGTTTTATTTAAAATAATTCGAAATATTCGAGCCGGCAGCGAAATTAGCCAAATTAACACCTTGCTAAGTCTGGAGTCTGGAGCGGCTTAGGCCTGCAAATAATTGAAATATTTTTTGCTCTAATAAAAGGACCCGAGCCGCAGGGATAAGCCGGAGTTGTGTGGCACATTTAAGTCCAGCTAAGACGAGGGTCAAAGGGTCAGGGGTGATGTGGGTGCACGAAAAAAAAGTTGACCTTTTGTGCCTTCTTTTATTCTCTCACTCAATTACGGCCGCGGGTTCTGGCCAGCACAGAACCACTTGGCAGCAGCAGCGGTAGTCTATTTGGGCAAATACTTCGGGCCATTTAAACAATTTCCATTAACAAATATGCGCAAATTGGCCAACGGCGGTTTTACAAATAAATTGCACAAAAAACCAACTTTGACAAAAATGGGAAAAAACAAAAACTGATCCAAACCGAAACGAACCGAGATACATATATATGAATGTTCAATCTTTTTCAACCGAAATGCATGAAATATTTTTGCAAATTATTTTTATGCACTTCATTAAATATTCCAGCAATTTGCGAGCCCCAAAATCGCTCCGAGCCAAGGCAGCCTGGCGCACTTTAATCAACCGTAAAATGTTGACCTTTTTTGTTCAAGGCCCGGGCCCGCAACATGTTGTTGAAATTTCTCCCCAGGAGTGGGTGTGGGCGGAGGTCAGAGCGTGTGGTGAGCCTAATGGACCGACAACCCGGACTTGCACTAATAGTAGTACCAGGATCATCGGGTTTGGGCCTCGCCCGGATTGAGACAGCTTTCCCCGGCCTGCATTTACATAATTTATGCCGTTTGGAGTGGGTCCCGGGAAGGAGTTCAAAAATGTAGCCGGGGATGGATATCGGGATAAGGCCATGACTCAGTTTATGACATTCTCCGCCTGCTGCGGCTGGGAGTCTCATAATTTCCACGTGCCGAGTGACTTTGAGGTTTTATGACAAAAAGTATTTATGAATGAGAATGAAAAACATTACAATATGAAACACTGGTCCTTGTACTCGTCCTCAACCTAAGCGTTGTCCTGCCAGTCAATATCTAAATGGAATATTTAGCTTTATTTATGCGCATATAAATGCACAAGGCATTGGCACTTGGATTCATATATTCAATGGCCATATTCTCTGACGTACATGCATTATTTATGCATCCACTGAGGCCACACAAAATTCATAAACATTTGTTGTGCAAATTTCTTTGGGATGTTTCTCACGCCCTGGCTTATCCGCCTCCCACCCTGCTTCTCCACAGCGGCCGAGGAACATCCCACCCCCTGTGCCACATCCTCATCTCTGGCGATTGCCAATAAATTCACATCAAAGGTCTTTATTTGTATTTGCTTAGCAGCGAGCTCCGAAAAGGATGCTCACAGGACTCAAACAGCCAGCGGCCTCCCAGGCCCGGCCTGTGCAAATATCATTTTCGTTTCAATTGAGCATCTCTCGGCTTAGGGCATTACTCGGCCTAGGCACAGGCCAGGCCCAGGACTTCGAGCGACACTCCCGTCATCGGCTAATCCTGCTGCCTGGCAACTAGAAAATCATTTAG